CATAGTAAATGTGGCTGAAAGACCAATTTAGGTCTTTCAGCCTTTTAGAAGATAGCTCCCTGATACCGTGGGAATTAGGGAGTTATCTACTAAACGGCTGCAAGATGCAGCCACAGCAATGAATAGGATCAGAGTTTCATTCATTCGAATGAAATTCCGATCCGAATAAAGTGCCGAATTGCGTTCTAAAAGAAACGAACAGACTGTTCTCATTCAGTTAGAACGCAATTCGGCAGTTTTGTGGAAAGTGACAGGAAGCATTGTGGGAACACAGAGGAAAGCTAGGAATCATGGGAAAATTGCTCTGACCAGCGGAAATAAAGCACACTTTGCTCCTCCGCTGGTCAGAGCTGGTCAAGCGGAGGAATCCTCCATAAGGCAAAGAGTCCTTACTTTGTCTTATGATTTTAAAGAAAACTAAAGAAGATAGGAAGAAAAGAATAACAGATCCTGAGAGAGGGGGAGAAGAGGAAGAGATTGAGGAAAGGTAAGTTCGGCATGACAGTGCCGCTTTAACATGTATAGCTTGGAGGAAAGACGAGACAGGGGGGATATGATAGAAACATTTAAATATATAAAGGGAATCAACACAGTAAAGGAGGAGACTATATTTAAAAGAAGAAAACTACCACAACAAGAGGACATAGTCTTAAATTAGAGGGACAAAGGTTTAAAAATAATATCAGGAAGTATTACTTTACTGAGAGGGTAGTGGATGCATGGAATAGCCTTCCAGCTGAAGTGGTAGAGGTTAACACAGTAAAGGAGTTTAAGCATGCGTGGGATAGGCATAAGGCTATCCTAACTATAAGATAAGGCTAGGGACTAATGAAAGTATTTAGAAAATTGGGCAGACTAGATGGGCCGAATGGTTCTTATCTGCCATCACATTCTATGTTTCTATGTTTCTATGTTTATGATAAGAAATATTTTCCCCTCAAAAATAGTTTTTTGTTTTTTTATTGGCAAAAAAAACAATTATATTGTGTTATGTACTGTAGTAATGATGCTGATCATTTCACCTTCATCGGAAAATTGTGTAGAAATTGTTATAAAAATAAAAATCACCTCGATAATTTCACTCACTTTTTATGTTGATTACATTATTGAAGTGAGCTTTGACCATGTAGCGTTATTAAACTAAGCAGTGACTATTTAAAGCGCAGGTTTTGCTTTTTAATTAATCATTTTTTGTACATATATATATTTTTTTTAAATTCACCGTAGTTTTTTTAGTAGTACACAAGATAGAGTAGCAACTACTTTTCCCTTATGGGGGTGTAATCTCTGGCATGTTTTGGCAATGAGTGGAGCTTAAACAAAGTTTCATTTCAGTTGCTAATCTAATTTACCCACAATTCATCAGTCAAAAAAAATGCACAAAAGGGCAGACTCTAGACATCATGGACAGAGTAGAACAAATGGGGGCAGCCAGGTATCGAGATCCTGCACAAGGAGAAAAAGATAATAATTGTAAACAAAGAGGCCAGTAGCAATGTGAGCAGAATACTCATGAAGATAAAAGGGGAATAAGAAAAGGAAACTAAAAGAAAAAAAAATACAAATTAAAGGAACACTATAGGGTCGGGAACACCATTTAGCCCCCCTGACCTCCCCTTGCTTCCCTAAATATAGTAAAATTTTACTTTTATTCTACTGTTGCTGGCTCTTCCCCTGATCTGCCTGCTTGGTTGACATCATCAGATGTGGTGATCTCAGCCAATCACAATGCTTTCCCATAGAAAAGCATTGAATTCGCTGAGAATGTCAAGTAGGCAGATCAGGGGCAGAGCCAACACAAGCCAAACACAGCCCTGGCCAATCAGCATCTCCTCATAAGGCTACATTGAATCAGTGTATAACAATGAGGAAAGATCAGTGTCTCCATGAAGAGGGTGGAGACACTGAATGTCAGTCACACTGTGCAGCACTGTCCCAGGAAGCACCTGTAGTAGCCATCTGAGGAATTTTCTATAAAAAACAGTGTTTGCTTCAAAAAGCCAGAAGGAAATAATTCTACTCACCAGAACAAATCCATTAAGCTGTAGTTCTTCTGGTGACTATAGTGTCCCTTTAATGTCAAGGGTGAAATTCAAATTTATTAGTTTAAGCAAACTTTAACCCTAACCTTACACTAAGAAGACACTCAACAATATTCAACAATAATTGCTGCTCAAGGTTAGGTTGTTTAGATTGCAAACTCTGCGTATTAACATGCACGTCAAGTTAACTGTTCTAATAATTTATGGGCAATATTTTCTGATCTTTTTATTGACGATAAACTAAAGCAAAGTGTTTTGTAAAAGAACACCAATGATGTTATAGATATCACACATCGTCATAATCATACATTCAGACTTCTGCAGTATTTATCATCATTGCCTGGACATCACTTCGTTTTGAACGTGTTCATGTTTCATAATAAAAAGATATTCTTGGAGGAAAACTAGAAGGAGAGGGGTAAGAACCAGAAAGAAGAAAACAGAGGGATGGAAGGATCCATATCCATCGGGTACACAATACATGTGGCACGGTAACTGTAAGGCTGGATATTCCTCAGGGTCCCAGAGACCCCCAGACTGCCATGGACTTATCAACAGGTTTCTGCTTTTCTCTTATCTCTCTGCTGCACTGGGAAAAGGTCCATTAGAATAACACACACACAGGACAACATAATGTATTCCAAACAAGCCTCTCGTTTTAATACTTACAGGAGAGAGAATATATAGACATATTGGTCTACAGTGGTCGCATTATTCAGTCACTCACAGTTGGCACTGAGTACTTTGCACACTAGTCTGCATGTAAGGAGTAGACAAGCAAACCTGCCGAAGACCTGCGTCTATCCTCTGTCCGTACTCCCACCTCTGATGCTCGCCTTCAAGACTTCTCTAAGGCACTATTCCTGTAAAACCCTTCCCTTCCTTTCTTTCACCCAGTCCCCACTCCTTCAAAAAAATCATAAAAAATTCACTTTTTCAGGAAAGCGTATCAGTTAAACTGGTAATAACCCCCCCACCCCGATCCTGATTCCCCTCTTAAATAAATAAATACACTGTCTTTAGTGAATATTATTCTACCAACCTACTTCTCTACCCTTATCTTTTGTGTCAACGTAAAGCTCATTGAGTAGGGCCCTCAACCCCTCTGTTCCTGTGCATCCAACTCGTCTGGTTACAATGATGTATTATTATAAATAATAATAACATAGTGCACAACTTCAGATAATTTTTCTTTTTAAAGGACATACACGAAGAAGGCTCAGATGATGTTGGCAAAGACCATGTGGATGAATATCTGAACTCTGGACCTGAGAAGCTTCTTACTCACTGGGGCTCAGACTGGAGCTTTTGGGTATGTCTCTATATAATATTGTAATAGGCATGTTTTGTTACAAAAGTCAGTTTCCATATAGTGAGTGTGCATCTGGAATATGGAATTCTTTGCTGGTTTAGATAGTATATCCAAATAATTCAGTACTTTAGAAAAAAATCTTCCAAATAATTTACCATAGACTTTAAAGGACCACTCTAGGCACCCAGACCACTTCAGCTTAATGAAGTGGTCTGGGTGCCTGGTCCAGCTAGGGTTAACCCATTATTTTATAAACATAGCAGTTTCAGAGAAACTGCTATTTTTATAAATGGGTTAAGCATTCCCCCAAAGGCTCTAGCAGCTGTCTCATTGAGAAAAAGGTGAGTAAACTTAAACTTATTGTTTTATCATTTCAGTGTGTTCCTTTAAAAGACCACTATAGGCACCCAGACCACTTCAGCTCAATGAAGTGGTCTGGGTGCCAGGTCCATCTAGGATTAACCCTGCCTGCTGTAAACATAGCATTTTCAGAGAAACTAGGGTTAATCCAGCCACTAGAGGTGATTGCGTGATTCTCACTGTGAAAATCACAGCGAGAGCACGCAAGCGTCCATAGGAAAGCATTGATAATGCTTTCCTATGCGACCGGCTGAATGCGCGCGCAGCGCTTGCCGCGTGTGCGCATTAAGCCGACGGGGAGGAACGGAGGTGGAGAGCTCCCCGCCCAGCACTGGAAAAAGGTAAGTTTTTACCCCTTTCCCCCTTCCAGAGCCGGGCGGGAGGGGGACCCTGAGGGTGGGGGTACCCTCAGGGCACTATAATGCCAGGAAAACGAGTATGTTTTCCTGGCACTATAGTGGTCCTTTAATGGTGACATCTGTAGATAAATCATTAGGAAAGCTTATTAAATGGAGGATTTAATTCCTAAACAGAAGAAATAATGTCACTCACTCATAGAGGGGAGCGCTGGCAACTGTTCATCTAAATGGAAAGTGAAATCAAATAGACTTTATTTCTGCACAATCCTCGCATATTTCTGTGTGGAGCATGCAGTGAACGCAGTGCATGCTCTATATACACGTTTGACTGATTGAACTGCTGGAGCCTGGAGCTGGTATGACACCTTGTGACATAAGGAGAAGATATGTGGGTATGAACACAAGGTAGAAGGGAGAACATGGGAAGGACACGAGTAGGAGGATATGGGGAGTGGGACATGTGGGAAAAAGGCATGGGGGGAGTGGGACACGTTGGGAAGGGCATGTGGGAGTGGAACACTGTATGCATCCTCCTTCAGTATGACCTACACAGAGATCTGTGTATGTCTAATAGATGTAAACTCTGTTTCCTGTGACTCCTTTGCCACCAGTGAGGACATGCACAAGTAGTGAGAGTCTGAGGACTGTCTCATCTCAAAATTCAACCACCTGCAAGCATCTCCAGAGACACTGTACATATGCATCATAATCTGATAGCCTAGTCAGCTCTAAATACTGCAGTTTCTTAGGAAATATCCCAATGGGATCACAAACACAGTGCTGGACTAGTTATGGTCCTAACAAAATCCTGCCTGTCTCGCTCCTATAGTACTCTGTCAGCTGACATCCAAACCCATCTTCCATTGTATTTTTAGCAGAAGAAAAGTGCCGCGAGGCTGTGGCCCACAAGCCCCCTATGTCCCCGTGTGCACTGACAGGCACAACCAAGTTGCTGGGATTGTGTATAGAAATTACTGACTCAAGTCCAGATAGTAGGTGCCACAAAGACCCCGCTGGACATTCACATTAAGATGGACAAACAAGTACTGGCCAACCAAGCAAATGATGATGGACACGAAACGGATGCCCAGTGACCATAACTTTAGGAATAAGGAACATGAGAAGCCAAGGGCTGAAAGAGAAGCTAGAACGTGTGTAGATAGTTGTTGCCCATGGGTTGCAGGGCACTGAAACTCAAACTGGTAAAGTTGCTTCAGCAGATTCCAGGTGGGAGATCTGAGATCGCTGTCCAGAAGAGTTCAGTTCCACGAGCAGCTAAGATACTGGGCAGAACCCTTAGACACTCGGCCTCTGGTAGAGGACCAGAGAATGAGGATCGCACAAAATACCACCTGAAGGAGTGAGAACATCAGTTTTATTTATACAGAGAAAGAGAGAATTACCAGGAATCAATCTGGATAAATAGATCATTCTTAAAGGGAACTGTCACTTCTTTGGAATTTACACTATGGGATAAAACATTGAAAATCACCTATAACTTGTGTTAAACTTTTTCATGCACCATTTTCTTTTACATTTAAATTAAATATCTAGCAAATGACATCATAATCCATTTGAGGCAAGTGAAAACCAGGGTAGACATTGCAAATGAAGAGGAGAAATAAACACATTGTTTAAATTATCCTCTGCTAAGATGGAGGATAATTACAGGATAAAGAGATGTGGATTTCTACGCTCAATTTAAACTCTCACACCTCACAGATACAACTCAGGATAAGAAAACATAATATTAAAAATCCAGAGATGTGAAAGTTCCCCTTGAAGAAATTCTTAAAGGTGTTCTCCAACCACCATGACAACTTCAGAGATGTGAAGTAGTCATGGTGGTAGCAGTATGTATCTGGAGTGTTTCTGCTTGACACACTGCACATACAGAGTTATTGGCACTTTTGTGCTGGGGGTTGGTGCACCCAGAGCACACGTGACATTGGCCCACAATCTGCTCAGAGCTGCCTAATGTCAATTCTGTGCATATTTTGTATGTCATCAGCACGCACAGCATGCCTGCAAGGGGAAACTAACTCTCCCCTCCCTCTCTGGGGTTCCTCCCACCGTCCACATTTCAGAACGCCCCCAGGCCCAAAACGCGCACATGACCTCTAAACAAGCGAATCGGTCCAATCTCATAGAAAAGCCTGTGATTGGATCCTGCAAATGCCTGGTGACGCCCTGGAGGGGTGCGGATATCAGAGAATTGCCCAGCGCTAGATTAATGTAAGTTAAAACCTTTTTTTTGCAGGATTTTATGGGGGGTGGGGGAGTGAGGGGAGGGAAGGGCGGTAATAGCTATCCAGTACGGCATTTAAAATGTAACCCTGTAACTAATTAATTAACAAGGCTCACACATTCATGGTTTATATAGCATTTGCAGTGGATGTGTTTAGTGTAAATGTTTTACATTAATTTGTATGCTGTTTAATGCCATTCCTGCTCAATATGGAAACAACTTTTCTCATCTGTAAATGGAATGTGTTTTCATAAACTGTGTGAGAAATAACTGATTGTACTCACCCCGGTTTGTACAAGGCTGGTGTTTTGCTGGGTGTGTTACACTATACATTATTCAATATTGGGCTTTATTGACTAAGTAGAACATTTTAAGTTAAACTAGCTAGATTGGGAACATTTGTCTCCTTTGCTATTTCCCATAATGCTTGCTGTTTCTGTATTCATTCTCTGCAGTTCCTGGTTAGTGAATGAACCTGGATTTGCTGCAGGTCTGCTGGCATTAGTCAAGTTAAGTTCTAAAACATGAGAGCAGATGGGGAGCTCAGAGAGAACTGAAACCAGCAGAAAATGCCTTGCGTGTAGGATATTATTTTCCTATAAAATATTGAAAAAACATCTTTCATTCCTGTCTGTTTCCCAGGGTATCTTGTGGACAGAGATCATTTGGTTTGTTTTTTCTAGCTCTGAAACAAGATATCTGCGTCTCGTGTGATCTCCCAGAATTCAGGCCATTGCCCAGTCCAAAGCTGGAGCAGCACGTATGTGTTGAAATGTTAATGTGCCTCATTGTATTAGGCTGGTTTCAGTAATCAAACAATTATCTATTGTTACAAGGACCATTTGAAGGATCCTGACACAGCCCTGTGGGATAGAAGGTGTAAGAATTAGTAACTAAACAATAAGCTATTACCACTGAACAATGTGGGTCTCTCCACGTAGCTAGCTGTAAACCCTTAGATAGGTATTAGAATTCAGCTCATCACTGTGTAAATCTAACAGTAAGAACTCTGGATTGTGCAGGACTAGGCTTGTGAACACAGAAATCCATAAAATGAAATGTTTGAACTCAACATTGTGCAGAATTAGGTTTCTGAACTAAGGATTGCTTAAAAATAGGTGTTTCAACTCAGCATTGTGTAAAAACTGGTATTTGACTTGAGCACTAACTATATCAGGATAATTCACTAGACATCAGATTCTGCCATAGTGAGCAAAATCCGGTGAAAATGTCAAAATTCCTCATATTTACCAGAGTCAAATCTGACCGGAATTTGGCCAACCCGAACAAATCTGCAGCAATTAACCAGATGCATTCGATGTCCAGATTAAAATCAGTGCTTTTCAAATCCGAACCCTACAGGAATTACAGGCTTTGGTACATTTATAAAGCACCTATTTTAAATGACAGACAGAATTCTTATAGCAGGATGCACGTTCGCAAATTATCGTTCACAGGCTTCTTAAAGCGAGCAAGAATGTGAAATACTATTTTCCCACTGACAGCGCTAGCAGCCAGTGCGCAAATAGGTTAAAAAAAATAAAAATCTGCAAGGGTTAATTATCTAGAGGCTGGCCAGCCCTTGATGGCCAACTGACAGTCACTAGAGGTGGACTTTACAATTCCAGTGTTTTACATCGCACGGTTAAAGGGACAGGGACACTGCACCAACATCACTTCATTCAGGTGAAGTGGTCTGGGTGACTATACTGTCCCTTTAAGCTCATCACAATGTGAGTAAAGTAAGATCAGGGAAATGGAAGTGTAGTAAGCTTTGGGACATTTTAATGATTTACCTCTCTTAAGCTTGGGGACATTTAATGAGTTGCCTAGGTGTTCCCTTTGACTCCGACCTCTTCTTCAAGCCTCGTGTTCAATCTATCGCCAAATCCTGTCATTTCCATCTCAAAAACATTGCGCGCATCCGCCCCTACTTAACGCCAGATGTGACTAAGGTGTTGGTCCATTCCGCTGTCCTCTCTCGCCTTGACTACTGTAATCCGCTTCTCAGTGGTCTTACGTGCTCCCAACTAGCGCCGTTACAGTCCATAATAAATGCGGCAGCGAGGCTCATCTTCCTGTCCGCCCGCACCTCCCATGCCTCACCCTTCTGTCAGTCCCTACATTAGCTTCCTATAAAATATAGAGCTCAATTTAAAATTCTGGTTCTTGCTTTCAAATCTCTACATAATGCTGCTCCCACCTATCTATCCTCCCTCATACACAAGTATGTCCCGTGTAGGCCCTTACGATCTGCTGAAGACT